CGTTTGATGCGTTGGTGCTAGCATGATATTGTCATATCTGTATATAATGTCAGATCGGTAGGGACTTGCACCGCCACCTGGCATATCGAGCCGTCGATATCGTTCCTAGCACGTTACGAGATGTCTTATCTCCTAGTGCGTCGACTTCTATATTGATATCATGTTCGACTTCTCTCCATGCACATCCTCACGCGCACTGACCCCGCCAAATTTATTTATTTTTTATCGGCAGGCAGAACGTCACGTGTGACGTCACAACGGGACTTTCTCCAGGCGTGACGCTTGCGTAATATCTGTTTATTTGGATTGTGACTCTCGCCCTGTTAGGACTGAGGAGACAAATCTTAAGTAGAAACTCTTGCCAGAGTGGTGTGTTTTATTCCGCACGTCAAGACTGATATCTCGCATCTTGAAGTTGGGGAGCGTCGGATGCGTGATATGTTAACAATTGTAAGTATTAATATTCGGGCAGCATTTAACAATATCGTGTTTGTGAGCGTGGTTGTGGTGTGCTGGTGAGGTCTCCCTGCTCTTTCTGTCTCTCTCTCTCTCGCTCTTCTCGCTCGTTTGTCTCTCTTCTCTCTCTCTCGTCTCTCTTTTCCCTCTATTTCTCTTCTCTCTTCGCCTCTCTCTCTTTGGTTCCTCTCTCTCTCTATGTAGTGTGTGCTGTTGTGTGTGTGTGTGGTGGTGTTTGTGTGTGTGTGTGTGGTGTGTGTTTGATGTGTGTGCTCAGCGCGGCGGGCGTTGTGGTGTATGTGTGTGTGTGGTGTAGGTTGTTGGATGGGGTGGTGTGTGGTGTGTGGTTGTGTGTGTGTGAGGTGTGTCTTACGGTGGTGTGTGTGCTAGTGTTGTTGTATTTGGTTGATTGTTTCGAGTGTTAATATATGCGCGGCGCGCGTGACTGCGTGGTTGTTGTGTGGGTTGTGTGTGTGTTGTGTTGGGGGGGCGTGTGTTGTGTGTCGTTGGTGTGGTGGTGCGTGGTGTGCGGCCGCACGCGTGTGTGGGGTGGTGTGCGTGTGCGGTTTGCAAGTGTGATTGGTTCGTGTGAGGAGTGTTGGATATATGTACGTGTGGTGTATTGTACGTGTGTTGAGATGGGAGATGGATGGATAGATGGGGTGGTAGAGCGAGGTATGGAGGAATGGATTTTTGTGGATAGATGGATGGATGGAATGGATGGATAGTATGGATGGATGGTGGATGATGGATGGATGGATGGTATGGATGGATGGAATGGGATGGGGATTTATGGATGGATGGATGATGGTGGAGATGTGTGGTTGATAGATAGATGATGATGGGATGGATGGGAATGGTATGATGGAATGGATTGGATGATGGATGGATGGATGGATGATGTGGGATGTGATGGAATGGATGGTATGGTGTGTTTAGGATGAGATGCCATGGATGGATGATGGATGGATGGATGGATGGTATGATGGATTTGGATGATGGATGGATGGATGGATGGGTGAATGGATGAATGAATGGATGGATGGATGGATGGATGGATAAAAGGATAGATAGATAAATAAAGACAGGGAGCGGGACAAAGATTAGGAGGTAAAGAGACGGGAAGAAAAACGTGCGAGAGAGAGAGAGAGAGAGAGAGATCGTGCAATAGTGGAAGCTTGATAGCGATACCTAAACACCTTGCGTGTCTTATCCAGCTGTTTGTAAATTCCCCCGTGTGCAACCGCATGTGTTGATGGCCAACAATATATTATGTGCTGACCTCAATACATCAAACCTTCACTAGATCGCTTACAGTACTAGGAAAAAGTCAGCTTAGATGCAACCTAGACATCCGCCCGCTGTGTATGCCAATCGGAAAAGCAAGCTCCACTCTATTAGTACGTCCTCACCTCTGACATTTTGGTTCACGGTCTGTTTCCTTTGTCTTGGAATCGTAGGCTGGACCCTTTGTAAAGGGCCCACCATAGTATTGTATAGAGAGATGGTAGGTTTTGATGCTGTCATGTAGAGAGCCTCTTGCCGTTGCTGCTTTTCAATAACCCTCATTTTCTTACCCTTTTAAGACCTTGATCCTTGTGATGTATTCATACTTCAATAAGCTTCATTCCATGTCATATTACACCATTGACCACTCTACCCGTCTACCTTGACCCTTCTGTAATGACTACCCTTCTGTGGCACGTCCTGTAACATATTGAGGAGAAGTTTAGAGACTTTCCTATCATTCTTTCCAACTCTCCCTCTCTGTACCTCAACTGTTTCCCACCTGTCATGATCTTCAGAGTTGGTCCTTGTCCTTCCATACTGTCCGCAATTTATAACCCATCTTTAATTCCGTGTAGACGTTACCCCACCCCACCACAACGTGAGTACAGTGGCAAACAACGTTGTGTGTGGACGGAATTCTTGATTGGTAAAATTCTGTACCTGCACTGATGTACGCGAAGCAAGTTATACTATACGCATTGATGATTAATGATAGCATATAAGCTTACCTTTTTTAGTTTATTTCTGTTACGGCTAGCTGCTTTCCCACCGATCTATCGGTATCATTATAGGTAAAACCAAAGTATTACGGCTGCATGCTTATACCATGGAAATATATAGTACAGTGAAAACACGTACATGCTCGTTTTATATATACGCTGACTCCGTGGTTTACATGTCATAACCGATGATATTCGTTTATATGGCCGTTTGCCCGTAAAGATAACACGACTACAACGAGCAGTTTTACATTTGCGAGTAGACATGCGTGCGTGACAGTTCCCCTGGGTGAGCCCATCATCACGTATACATTTGTGCAGCCTTCCGACATGGGCGGAGCCGTCAAAGGCCATATACTACTTGACGGATATATACGACGCACCATATTTCACGCATCGCGTCATCATCACTCGGATATTGTGACTCAAGATGTGCTATCGCGAATACGTATACACTAGCTGTTGCTGTTGCTGCTGCTGCAGGCGACACTGATGATGCGATTGCTGTTCAGCTAGCTGTAAACTAAACGTGATGTTACAGGTCGTCCGTGGTAGACAGTGAGATGTCACGGTTCGGCGTGAGCCGCAGCGTGAGATCACCGGCGATGCTGCTGATGCTGATGCTAGGAGCGTCACTGATGATGACGTGCACGAAAGCCAACCAGCGCACAGCGGCTGAACACGGCGTCGTCAAGAATCCGACGTTAGACCACGGTACGTATTAGTGTTCGCAAAGAAGAAACACACAGATAGAGTGAGGGGGAGAGTACGGGAGAGACAAAGAGATAGAGCGAGATAAGAGGACAATAGAGAGAGAAAGGAAGCCAGAGAGAGAGAGAGCGAGCCAGAGAGAGAGAAGGGGGGAGGTAGAGAGAAGAGAGAGGGAGACAGTAGGGCGAAGAGCAAGAGACAATAGAAGAGAAGGGAGAAAGGCAGTGTATGATATAGGAATGATCACGGATATAGGATATTGGAGACCTAATGTCTCTTCCTAATGGAAATATTCACCCTTTGTTCACCCACAGGTGACACGTTAATCAAAATAGCTCCTGGAAGAAACATCTCGCTACCTTGCGCTGGCACTGGCGCCATCCGATGGTTCTTTAGACGATTCGATGGCGACAGTGACGACCAGCTACTGGAAGAGCAGGCCGAGCCAACGCCACTTGTTCGCCAAGCGATGACCTACGATGACAGCGGTTCGTACGAGTGCCGCCAGGAGGCGCGACCGACGGTAGCCATTAGCAGTTACACGGTACTCGTGCTGGCCACCCCGAACAAGAAGGAACAGTTATACGGCGGTGAGTAGCATTACATGCGTGAGTGTTTTATATATGTGATTTCCTCGGGGGGGGGGAGATATTATGCCGGTATGTTTACTGGAAGGTTCTTTCTTTCCCTCCTTTTCTCATCTCTCTCTTCTTTCTCTCTCTCTCACTTTCTCCATCTCTATCTCTATCACTTCTTTCGCTTTCCTTCTCTATATCTGTCTCTCTTTCTCTCTCTTTCTCTCTCTTTCTTCCTTTCTTTCTCTCTATCTCCATCTCTATCGCTATGTCTATCTCTAACTCTCTCTTGCTCTCTCTTTCTCGCGCTTGCTCACAATTACTCTCGTACGCCCAATACTTGTACTGTTACTATAATGTAATGTAATGTAATGTAACGTCATGTATGTAATGTTGTAGAGATCGTTCCCGAATCGTCCCAGTTCGTCGAGCATGGCGCCACCGTCGCACTCGCCTGTGTTCTCTATAACACCGACCTCTACGATAGCACAATGATCACGTGGTCGCTGCAGCCATACGTCGATCAGGGGACGACTAATGTGACATCATGGGCTGTCGCCGTCGACCGCCGCACTTCGCTACTAGTTATTAGGAACGCCACCTGGCGGCATCGGGGTTCCTACCATTGTCAGCTGCCAGTAGGCCTACATGACGTCGACTTCCGCGCGATCACAGTCGGCGAGCGACCGACGCCGCCGGTAGATGTCGCCTGCGTGCTCGATAACAGTCAGTACGTCACGTGTTCGTGGTTGCCCGGCAACGAGCCGCGCATCAGCACGGCGCACGCGCTGCGCTACCGGCAGTCGAAGACGGAGGCGTGGCAGGAAGCCGTGGCCGCCGCGCAGTCGCAGTGCGAGTGTTCGGACACGAACGGCCCGGCGAAGGACGGACATTGCTGTCAGATCGGCGAACGCTTTCAGCAGCGGATACCCGGGGAATACCTCGCCATTGGGCCACAAATGCAGCTGCAGGTGGAGGTGACCATTAGCAACAAGCTCGGTCGGACCGCTGTGACCACGAGCTTATCACTGGACGACACGATACGTACGTGCTCACTGCTCAGTAACGCAGCATTGCTACATTAACCATAACTGCACTTATGATATATCGTACAGTAGTAAATTACTTACGTCCATTAACTTTCATCATTATAATATTATAATTATTAATTAATTTTGTTAAATTATTTAACTTAATATCAGTAACATTTTTTTTAAACTAATGTCGCTATGCGCATTTGCTAATGTCTGTTATCTACATACAACTCGCGCATTTTGACCAAACTCCACAGCAGATGGCACTCTCGCTCTGGCTCAATAATGCAGTTCGCGTTTTGACTGCACCACTACGCTACAGCGCTGACTGTCGTGTTTTAGTGAGACTGCCTCCACCGCCGTTCTTCGTCGCCCGTCCGCTGAATAGTAGCTGTCTGGATGTGACAGTCGGCTACGACAGCAACGCCGCCACAAGCATCTGGGACCTGCTCGACTTCGACGTCGAGTGTGATATTCAGTACAGACGCGAGGGGCGGGAATCCAATAAGGTGAGTAATTCCTTGAAAGAGATCAGAGAAGGACATAATTTGATATGATTACTTGTCTTGTAGCGCGCTTATAGGATCTCATTTGTGGTTAATTCCGAGGAGAGCACATATTATCTCCCTCTTGCTAGCCGAGCCTAGCTTTCAAATATGCCGCACGTGTAGCGACCTATGGAGCGTAAATCCACTGGCACTGCCCTGTGTATGATCAAATATGCCGCGCGTGTAGCGGAGGTCTGGAGCGACGACTATACGGGGCGTAAATCCACTGGCACTGCCCTATGTGGGATTGACAAGCATTTCACTCGATGTCATTGCGCTATGAAGTTCCCAATGAACAACAATTTTCGACTTGTTATCATCTTTAACGGGTTCTTCTAATCGTGTGAAGCTAAAAACGGCTGTTTGAGCGGATTTCTAATATTGAAGTTTTGATATTTTATCCACCAGCCATCGAAACATGCGACGAAGATCGGGCTAATAAACGCTGACAATCAAGACAAGAAGCAGATGGTTATATGTGGCCTTGCGGCCTACACAAACTACACCCTCTACGCGAGGTGTAGACCGGAGCATAGCCACTTCCAGAGCTCGTCTAGTGGACCAATCAGCGCGAATACAACCTCCGCAGGTATGGTCCCCTGCTATAGATGAGCTGGCAGTGTTAGTGTAGTTGTGTTTGTGGTATGTAGTTGTGTAGTATGTGTATTAGAGTATCACTGTAGTATTATTGGCATTCGTTTTTGTGTGTGTGTGCGACGCACCTTTCGTCGCATTTGATATAAATTATCCGCATTTTACTTTTACAGCGCCGTTGTCTGGACCTCCTATGACAAACGGAGCCTTCTCATTGAAGTCCCTAGATGGTGGAGATCGACTGGTCCATTTGTACTGGCAGGTGAGTAAGCTATAGCCACCTAGTATATACGTGTATTACATGTGTGTCTGTCTTTATATGCGCGCAATGTCACGTGTGTGTGTGTGTGTGTGTGTGTGTGTGTGTGTGTGTGTGTGCGAGCGCATGCGTACGTGTACGTGTCGGACGTCTCCCAGAATGGATCAGCGGTGTTTAAGCATTTTCCCTTAATGTATAACTCCTTCGTTCACAGTCGCCTTAGCATGGCGATGT